AATTTTTCGAAAAATTTCTTCTTAGTGTACATTCTCTTGACGTACCCTATTAAAACGCAATCAAAAACGCAAAAACCTGCATCTAAAATAGTATAATAGAAGCCAAGTTCTTCACAGTAAGCCTTAATCCTAACCATCTCCCTTCAGTGAGAGAAATTTTGACATGTATATTATATAAAAACATGTGCATATTCGAATGCAGTGTCGTGTCAAAATTTCAAAGGAATTGGTAGGAACAAGCAAACATTACATTTTTATTTATATAGATAGATAGATGATCTGCTTTAGTTCATTTTCACAGAAAAGCATAATGCCCCTCAGAAAAGCAAAAGCAAATTTAGGGCGTTGTACTCGTAGCGCCATCTGTTGGACATAAAAGCCTTAACCTAGATTATATCTTTTAATTTATATGAATGTTTAATGGAATAATATACAGCCTATGTCCACCATGAAGTTCCATTCTAAATATTGGTGAAAGAATTTTTGAAATCAGATGAGTAGCTTCAGAGATTACCCGCTACATCCAAACTTACTTACTTACAAACATTACCTCTTTATTATAATAGTATAGATGTGACACAGTGCCAAAGGTAGGTGTACCAAAAGATGTCTGTTGTAATGCAAGTGGATTTAGCCACTGATGGAGGACATGATGAAGGATTGGTTGGATGTAGTATGGTTATGTAGACCAGGAGCTTTTGTTAAGACAGAAGCCATGCTTGCTTCACAAGTTTCTGTGGTCATTTGACTGATGATATGAATAAAGCTATTGCAGAGAACATGGATTGTGTGGTTATCCCAGGCAGGATGACCACCCAACTCCAAGTTTTGAATGTTTGTGTCAACAAACAATTCAAAGATGATATAAGAGAACAATATCATTTCAGGCTTCTAAGTGGCCAATTTAACTTATGCCAGCTGGAAAAGTACAGAAACATTCTCCTCCAAGCCTTTGATATCCAAGTGATATCTTTCTGCAAATTCAAATTATAATCAAAATAACCATCAAAACTAATGTGCATTTAGAAAATTTAATATATTTTAATTGTGTTTATAATGAATGTTTCTACTCAAAAAATAATGAAATATATTAGAAATTGAAGAGATTCAATAATTTGCCATTTATGAAAGTTTAATCTCCAAATTTATGAATATAAATTGCATGAATTAACTATTGAAGTAACTATGAAATTTATTGAATTGCATCTGTAATTTTATGTGATTGTATCATTTGTGCATTTTCAATGGCAGTACTTTTGTAGAATTGAGTTGTTTATAAATAGTCTATCTGAAAAAAATTCAGATTTTAATAAATATAAAACTAAATAATAATAATGTAGTCAACAATTTCTGTAGATTTTATCTTAAACTTCTTAATTATCTATATCATTGATAATTTTTAATATTTATATATATATATATATATATATAATAAGTTGAGTAGAATTTAATTAGATGTTTACTTTATCCGAATTAAATGTCTGAATAAATTATTCAAATCTGGAAACACCGAAAATTATATTTTACATTAAATATAAGTGAGATCATTTACATCATTTATATATTTATAAACTTAATAATTTACTATAAATACGTGAGAATTTTAAAATATTTTGATATAATACAAGCAACAAGTTTAAAAATAAAGAAAAATGGCTGCTTAAAATTTGAAAACAGCGATCTTTAGTAATTCAATTTGATGCTCTACATCCTCATTGATAACGTTACCAATAAAATTGTTCAGAATTTTTATCATTTTGGATCAACTTTTTAATAAAATTATTCATGAAAATTATCTTTGCTTCAAGTAGTAATCATTAAATCGATCTAAAAAAATGACTATATTCATCATCATCTTTACAATAACTTGTCATAAACGATAACTTTTCCTTATTCTTGAATATCAGTTATGACGTGGGGAGAGTATCGGGAGTTTTTAGATGAAGTAAATATACATGAGAATTGATTTTGTTTTTGTAAAAAATTTAGAATTTTTAAAATATATTATCATGTATATTTATATATTAAATATGTAATTTAACAAGCAATTATTTACTGTGACATCGTCACAATGCTGGGATGTAATTTTTATTCATATTTTTAATTTATTTAATTTAAAATATATGCTCTCCACCTCAAATTAATAGTGTCTTGCTCCTGTACATCATACTTTTCCTGTTAGCAACAGAGTCGTAATGGTCATCTATCTAACTCTGTTCTCGAGATTAAGGAAAGACAGACGGACGGACGGACGATAATAGGAATTTATAGGTCCACAATTTTTTAAATAGCAGCCCGAAAATTAATTTAATTAATTGCTAGTTTTTATGAGGTATCAACAGTTTTTAGACAGAGAAAATACGAATTAAAATCTATTTTTTTCGTGAGAAATTGCGGCTTTTTTGGTAAATATTTTAATATATTATCCGGAAATATATAAAATATTTCCAGGATTAATTGTATTACTTGTAAATCAATTAAATTAATGATTTTCGTGTGTAGATTTACGATAAATACCGGATTATAAAATAGAATTTAGATCTTATTCGTTTTCTTAAATGAAAAATTTTAATAGATTCTTAAATGAATACTTTAGTTTATTGCCTGGAGTTGCATAATCATAAATTCTGAGTTTCTATTCCAAAGTATACGGTGATATCTTTATAATGATACATGGGAAATTATCAGAAAATGTATCTTAATATATATAAAGTAGGTTTTCTTGTAAAATTTCTATTTTTTAACGAAATATTTACTTTTAAATACTTTAAAATTTTTTAATATATTTTGATTATAAATAATTTTCTATATAATTAACATAATTATTAGAAAATTTAATTAATTAATTAAATAATTCTTAAGTTCAGTATATTAAAGTTCGCACTTTTAATAGATTCAAACTGGCTTAAGATTTTTATTTTTAAATGATTTTATAAAGTTAATTATTAACTAAAATTACGTGTTTTTTTAAATATTTAATTTAATAATTAGTATTTGCTCATTTATACCTGATTTTTCAACAAAGGTAAACAAAATAAAAGATTTATTCCTCTGTTAACATGTGTTTATAAAAAGGGAGGAAAATTAAATAAATGTGGAAAAATCTTAATTTGATAAACAGGTAAAAGTGTAATTTTTATGAATATTTATACTGTTTTCTTAGTGTTTTTAAAACAAATGATCCGTAGTTTGTTGCGGTTAATTTTAAATTTGATTAAGTACACGTTAATGTATGGCTAATGTGGATGTTGCAACATCTGCCAGGATAAAAGAGGAGAATACAAATTTGTTCATCATCTTTTCTTAATATTATAAATCTGGAATAATTTTTAAATTCATTAATTATAATTATATATACATGTTTAATTTTTTTTATTTTTTTTATACAAAAGCGCAAATTTTAGTATTAAGAATAAGTTCAACAGAATTACTTTAGTGTCATCTCATTAAGCTTGTTAAACAAGCGAATTATTTAAATATGTTGCTCGTTAAATTTAATTTGTACACTTTAATGTTGTACTTATTTAAATACAGTATGAAATTAAGTATATTATACTGAATGTACAAGATATATATATATATATATATATATGTAGACATGTTGTAACTAGACTTATTATAGTCCCAAGCTATAATACTTACGAGACTCTTCTCACTCCATCAAATAAGTTAAAAGCATGAGATTCTAAGCTACAGTCACGTGGCCCGAGTTTCTAAGCTTTAAATTATTTAATTTTTGTATATATAGGCCTTTTATATATGTATAACGACTGTAATTAATATGGGTACCTCCTCAGATACTTTATCAATAAAACTCCTCAAATAAGGAATTTATATGATTAATAAATTAAATTTTATAAAGTATTAAACGTAAATTAATTTAATAAAAATGAATTTATGATATACAATAAAGTTTTAGAGCATTGGTATATTATTGTCATCCTTCAATAACTGCAAATTTTTATTTATTTTTTTTAATAGAAAATTGAAATAAATTTTGTGGAAAATCGAATCACTTAGTTTCCATCTTTTATACTTGATTTAACTCGTTATGTTTTAAGTATTGTTTACATGCTCCAATTACCGATTTTTCGCTTGCATTTCCCGAAAATTACTCCTTTTATTTTCTTTTTTTTTTATTCAATTTTGGTCAAGTTTAGTGTATATTTTTTTCTTTTTTAATATATATATTAAAAAAACTAAGTGGAAATTTCTATAAGAATATATTTAAGAAGAATTGTATGATAATAAAATATAATTTTTCTTATCAGATTTAACGTTTCGGTAGCCACAAATGGTTCGGATTATTATAAATGTTGTGCTGGCTTCTGCATCGATCTGCTTCAGAAATTCGCAGATGACCTTAGTTTTACATACGATCTTTACGAAGTCGAAGATAAAAAATGGGGAGCGTTAAATGTAAGTATGGATTTTTATCAAATACAATTTTCCCATAATTATTCAACAATTCTCAAAATGACACACTAGTTTTCTCAAATTTCCTATGTAGCGCCATCTAATGTTTTAAAAATAAATTATTTTTTTATGATCTCTTTAACACTTGTGCCATTCTTATTTAATTTTTTAAAAAATAACAATATTATGCAACTAACTTTTACAGAACGGTACGTGGAATGGTCTGATAGCCGATCTTTTATCTCATAAATCTGACATCGTTGTTACTTCCTTCAAAATTAACTCAGAAAGACAAAGTGCCGTCGACTTTACCGTTCCTTTCTTAGAAACTGGAATTGCTATTGTTGTAGCTAAAAGAACTGGAATAATATCTCCCAAAGCATTCCTTGGTAAGCTTTTTTTTTCTCTCTTTTCCTTCATTCAGAATTAATTTGCATGAAAAAACAATTGAAAAATCCAGTGCCACGTTATCCTATGAACAAACAAGAGCAATTTCCTGGGTCTTCCACCAAGAGGGGACTTCAGGAATCTTTTATAAGAAATAGTCCCCCTCCCCGAAAATTTCCCAGAAGAAAAATGTCTGAATTCAACACTACGTGGGACCTCCTAATTTAAATATTTTTGGGTTTCCCAACGCTGGAAAAATCAAAAATTGAATTTATTTTTGTTTCAACGTAAAGGATCACAACAAGATTTTGAAATTTTTTACATAATTTTTACATAAATTTAATGTCAATAATAATATTAAAAGGGCATCGACTCTTGCAGAATAGCCTTTCGGAATGAATTTATCAAAATATTTTCTCTATTTATTCATAAAATATCCTTCAGATTAGCCAAGAAAAAATATATAAAAGAGGATTTAAGATTGGTAAATCTGGAAACAGAAAAATAAAAAGAAAAAAAAAACATTTTGATCCGATAAATGTTTGAATGGAATACTCTAAATATGGAAAGAAATATATAAATAAATAAAAAACACAAGTTGAGTGAGGATAGGAAAACAAAAACGGACTTATATATGAAGTACTTATACAACGAATAAATGTGATATCAAATAGATGTCAGTTATTGACAGCAAACACTACTCTTGGAGAGGTTGGTATATCCCGAGGCGAAGACAAGCCTTCACTGATATGTATTCTAACTGACATTTCGAGAACAAATAACTCGATATCAAAAAAAAAAAAAAACTCTACAGCTATTCTGTAGATGTTGGGATAATTCTTTAATTATGTCACAGTTTTTGTGTCTCCGTAGGAAGTTGCGATAAATAATTTATAAAGTCAATNCCTGTACATCATACTTTTCCTGCTAGCAATAGAGTCGTGCCTGTCATCTATCTAACTCATTTAAGGGGGAAATTTTGAATTGAAATGACGTGATTTCCGTTCTAAACCGAAAATTAGCTGACTTTTGGTCCACCCTTCTTATATGTATACTTACTTCCCAGGAAGCATTTAAATATATATTTATATTAATCTCGTAAATAATTCTCAAGAAGGTAATTAATGATTTAAGAAATGATTATATTTATTCATTTAGAAATGATAAAACGAAGTAGACACCTCATTTGTTTATTCTTCAAATAAATTAATCATAACAAGTATAAAAATAAAGAAAAGGATAAATTATCTTTCGCTAATTATAGCTGAAATATTTCAAAAACATGATTACCAGTCTGTAATGCTTATAATTAATAATTTATATAATTATCTTCGTAAATATATAACTAAAAATATTATATTTCCAATAGAAAAATTTATGTCGTTCGTCGAATATTTTTCTTATTATTATTGTTTAAGTAATAATGTTTATTCAGTTATAATTTATGCACGAAAACATCGAGTTCCTATTATATATAAATTTATTCAGGAAAGAAATTCGAATATAATGGAATGATCGAGCCAGACAAAATACCATGCTTGACATTAATCAATGGTTTTTCAATCGAAGAAACCAGGAAAATAGTAACTTGTATGAAATCATAACCGCTGATTTTAGATTCGAGCAACCAGAAATATATAACGTTGATTCGTAACCGCTGATTTTCGGTAATTGTACTCGAAAAGTATACACGTTTGTCCACAATTACTAGTTTCCAATCGGAGTAACACGTTTATCAACAGTCTCTGGTTTTCAATTTAAGTATCCCAATAAAACTTGTTCTTCCACAATTACATGTTTTCAATCAGAGCACCATGAAAATAGCTCCTTCATTCACAATTTTTTTTTTGTTTTCAATCGGAGCATCGAGGAAAGTAGTGTGTTCATTTATAACTACTGGTTTTCAATTAGGGTGCAAAAACGTAGTATCATTTTCACGATTATTGGTTTTTACGTTTACGGCTCCGTTATGTTAACAGAAGGGAAGTATGGACATCAATCAAAAATGACCCCCCAAGATTTTTACATTTTTGGACTCGGGAGTCCTTGAAACGTCGAGATATGGAAAAAATTCGGGTTTTTTTTCCTGTATGTACGGATATTAGTGTGTATTTGCGTGGCACAAATTTGTTCACCCTGTTTGAAGCTTAATAACTCTTGTGCCTTCTGTCGAAAATTTATGAAATTTTTCAGGGAGGTTTGTGTATTATGGAAATAGATGCTGCTAAATTTTTTCTGTTTAAAGGTAGAGAGGGTGGAGAGATAAAGGAGGTCGTGTATATATATCTCCAATAGCTTCGGACTTAATGACGATTTTACTCGTTATTAGCATTTACAATTTTTTTTATAAAACCCATCTCTACCCTCAAAATTAAGCTTTTTGCCATTTTATAATAATTAAAAATATATAAGTTATTTTTAATAATAAAATATCGTAACAGATGACGCCATACACGCAGATTTAAATGTTGCCGGGAAAGTTAAGCAACTCATTGCTGGATTTTTTAATCAGAGTTTCTGGAAAAATGTGTTAGTTTAAAATCCCGGTTACCTATCAGAACACAGAAAAGTCTCAGCACGTTTATTCATACGTAACGTTGATTAGTTACGTTACTGAGTTTTATTTTTAGTTTTAGTCGTTATATAGATGTAGTTTTAATACAAAAATTACGCCGACCACAATTACTGATTTTTAATTAAAGCACTTTGGAAGGTAGACTGATGGGTTCATTGGTAGTTACTGATTTTTAATCACAGAGCACGTAACTTCAAAAACGTAACACATCTCACCGTAATCACTGGTTTTCAATTAGAGTATCAAGGTAAACGTGTTTATTGTAACCATCGATTTTCAATCAGAGCACCAGAAAATTAGTACGTTTATCTACAAGTGCCTTTTTTTCAATCAGAATGCGCAAGAAAGTATCACGTTCATTTTTAATTAGAGAATTCAGAAAAAAAGTAATACGTTTATTCGAAACTACTGATTTCCAATTAGAATATCTCGAAAGCGAACGTGTTTATTTGCAATTATTGGTTTTCGATCAAAGTATAAACTATCTTAGAATATTTATCCATAATCACTAGTTTGAAAGTTAACAAGTTCATTTTCAATTGTAGTTTTTATTTAGAGTGTTCAATCAGTATTTCCAGATAACAAGTTCGTCCACAGTTACCATGTTACTTTTACGGTTCTGTTATCTATAACAGAGGGAAAGTATGTCGATGGGTTTAAAAAAATGACCCCATCAATCAAAACTTTTACATTTTTGGACTCGGGGATCATGAAACGTCGACAAATGCAAAAACTGTCGGAGGTTTTTCTGTATGTATGAATGTTAGTGTGTGTGTGTATGTGGGTGGGCACGATTTTGTTCATCTAATTTCAAGCTTAATAACTCCCGTGCTTTTTGTCAAAAATTTCTGAAATTTTGCAGGGAGGTTTGTGCATAAGGGGGATTAATACTGTTAAATTTTGGTGGTTAAAGGTTCACGGGGTGGGGAGATAGAAGGGGTTGTGTGTACCCTTACTAGGGTCGGACGTAATGAAGATTTTACTAGTTAATAACATTTACATTTTTTTATATATATAAAACTCACCCCTACCTTAAAAATTAAGCCTTTTGCCACCTTATAATAATTAAAAATATGAAAAGTTCTTTTAAATAAAATATCGTAACAGATGCGCCACACACAGTTTTAAATGTTTCCGGGAAAGTTAAACAACTCATTGCTGGATTTTTAATTAGAGCACTCAAAAAGTAGTATATTCATTCGCAAACACCGGTTTTCAATCAGAATATCAGTACGTTCAACCAGAATAACCAGAAAAATATGTTCATTGGTAACCAGTACTTTTCGGAGCACCCATCAAAGTGCCACGTTCGTCACTTCAGAGTACGTTTAGTAACTATTATTTTTAGCAAAATAATGAATAATTTCAGCATTCCAATAATCTAAAAAAATACAGCAAACGAAGTTGCTTAACTTTCTCGGCAACATTTCAAATTTTTGTGGCACCATCTGTTACGATATTTTATTTTAAAAATAACTTTTATACTTTTAGTTATTAATAAAATAGCAAAAAACTTCATTTTGAGAGTAGGAACAATTCATTTAAAAAATTATAAGTGTAATAACGAGTAAAATCGTCATTAAGTCCTACCCTACTCGAGATACGACGCATGACCTCCTCTATCTCCTCACCTCCTCGACCTTTAACCAGAAAATTTTAACAGCATCGATCCCCCTAATACACAAACCTCAATGCAAAATTTCAGAAAATTTCGACAAAAGGCACAGGAGTTATTAAGCTTCAAAGAGGTGAGCAATATCGCACCCTCCCACACACAAAACCCTCTATCTCCCCATCCCCTCGACCTTTATTCATCAAAATTTAACAGCATAAATTCCTCTAATACTCAAATCTCCATGCATAATTTCAGGTCCCCCGAGTCCAAAAATATAAAAATCTCGAGGGTAATTTTTTCACACATTGCCATACTTTCCCTCTGTTACATATAACAACCGGGAAAGTTTAAAAAAAAAATGAGTTAATCAACCCGGGAAAAAAAGAATCAGGAAACAACAATTCACTCATTAAATTATACAATTGATCTTACACAAAGATTACACATAAATCTACCATTTGCAAAGTATTGAGCGTAACGAATGTAATTAATTTGTTACGTGAACGAAGTTTACACATAAATTTGTATAGATAAAAACCTTCATAATTTAGTAATTTAATTTAATTAATGGAAGAAAAAAAAAACACGTAAAATGATTTTACACTAATGTTAATTAGTGTAAATTATATTAGTGTCGTTAATGAGATTTCGTGAAGAGAAAAGTAAAAGAGAGAATAAAAAATAATTTAAATTTTTTAAATAAAAATTTACAATTTATTATAATTGAATTTCAAATAAAACTGTTTTTAATGCGAATTTAGATGTATTTTTAAATTAATTTTATGCAGTTACAAAAAGTCACTTGATCCAAATTTAAACGTACGTTTTGTTTTATTTTGAAATTAAATAAAATGTATTTTATTCTTTATGTAATTTATATTATTATAATTAAAATGGCAAATGAGAAGACGTTTCGTGCCAATTTAGGCCACGATGTTTCGTGTAATTATTCTTATAAAAATAATTACTAAGCATCACCTGACCTAAATTCGTATCATAATCACGTAATCTAAATCTGTGTCCATTTAACTGTTTTATGTATTTGTTTTATAAAAGTATCTAGAAAAAAATCACGTGACCTAGAAGTGTAGTTTTAGATCACGTGTTCTAAGTTTCTAGACATTTGGATCACGTGATTTAAGGTTGTATATTTTTATGTCACGTGAACTTTAGACCACGTGATAGAAATTTAATTATAATTAATATATAATTATACATTAAATTTAACCAAGTTCTAAATGACATTTACGAGATTGATAAGTTTAAATATTTATTTTAAATGGATTTAAAACTATACAAATTAAATAGGTTTATAATTATATTTACCTTTTCTATGATGAAATCTCATTTTTATTTCTTTCAATCGTCAATAGGAAATATTTTGTATATTATTTAAATAAAATAATATACCAATTAATTGTAAATAAGGGCCATTACATACAAAATAATTCAATTTATTTCGAATAGTTTTAAGTATTGAAAACTCATATCAAAGTTTATACAAGCAAAAGAATGATAAATTAAATATTTACCTTTTTCATCTCCGTCATCCTTCTCCCTTTAAATTTATAATTTATTTGTATTTCTAATAATATATTTTATATAATTTTTTTTACTATAGTTAGCTTTCTATTTTTACATTAGCATTCCCGATAATATAAAATATACAGTGAACTCGATATAGCGACACCCGACGTAACGAACTTTCGTTACAGCGAACAGTTTTCTTGTTCCTTTCCATTCTCGGGTTTCCGGTTTTCCGAGACTCTTCCGGATTTTTTCCCACTGACGCGTAGAATCGGAAGACTTTATTCTAGAAAATGTCGCTACAATGAAGTGTCTTTCTTTTTTTTACTACGTTTTAAACGTATTTCTTCCACTAGAAGAGTAAAAATACACGTGCCACCTTGTATCGTTCTGGAAGAATTCATTTTATTCCGGATTTTATCCCCAATTACCTGGTAATTCCTATTTGTGGATACTTTAGTTAAGGTGGAACAAGCATTAATTTGTCCAAAATTTTTCGCAAATAAAAAACACAATTACTAATTTTCAATTTTCCATCGTTGATTTCGTTAACTTTTCTGTTTCTCTGTCCGATTTTCTTTTTGTTTTTGCTTTGTCCGCATTCTCCTCACTGTTTTTATCGAATTTGGAGGGGGGCAGCTACACCCTGCTTTGTACGATCATGGTTATTCTTTACGTATATAGTGAGCTTTTGATATATTCAGTCTCTTAAGAGTTCATTACATCGAGGGTCTAATATATACATATAAGTCATGTAAATATATATATATGGAATTTCCTATCCTTAAATGAGCATTTCTAGCAATATATTATCGAGATTTTTATTCTCAAGTGAACATTTCTAGTAATATATTATAGCGATTTTTAAAGTAGTATTTTTGATAATACATATCGATATTTTTATTCTTAAACCAGCATTCTCAACAATATATATATACATATCAAACCATTAATTTTTAAACTAATATTTCTAGTGAACACTCTACTGTTAAGAGCCTCTCATCTTAATTCTTCAGCATCTTTCTGATCATTTTAAATAAAAAAGTAAATAAATAAAATGAAAATAAAAGTGAATATTCTTTACGACATTTCCTTTCAATATTATTTATTTTTATAAAATATATATATATATATTCTTTTTCAATTTACTTTAGTTTGGTTTCTTTTATCACACTCCTTTGTTTGGATATAATCTTTTTTTCAATATCCTCCTTTAATATGTTTGATTTTATTTTCAATTTNGTGAATATATATATATATATATATATATGTAGACATGTTGTAACTAGACTTATTATAGTCCCAAGCTATAATACTTACGAGACTCTTCTCACTCCATCAAATAAGTTAAAAGCATGAGATTCTAAGCTACAGTCACGTGGCCCGAGTTTCTAAGCTTTAAATTATTTAATTTTTGTATATATAGGCCTTTTATATATGTATAACGACTGTAATTAATATGGGTACCTCCTCAGATACTTTATCAATAAAACTCCTCAAATAAGGAATTTATATGATTAATAAATTAAATTTTATAAAGTATTAAACGTAAATTAATTTAATAAAAATGAATTTATGATATACAATAAAGTTTTAGAGCATTGGTATATTATTGTCATCCTTCAATAACTGCAAATTTTTATTTATTTTTTTTAATAGAAAATTGAAATAAATTTTGTGGAAAATCGAATCACTTAGTTTCCATCTTTTATACTTGATTTAACTCGTTATGTTTTAAGTATTGTTTACATGCTCCAATTACCGATTTTTCGCTTGCATTTCCCGAAAATTACTCCTTTTATTTTCTTTTTTTTTTATTCAATTTTGGTCAAGTTTAGTGTATATTTTTTTCTTTTTTAATATATATATTAAAAAAACTAAGTGGAAATTTCTATAAGAATATATTTAAGAAGAATTGTATGATAATAAAATATAATTTTTCTTATCAGATTTAACGTTTCGGTAGCCACAAATGGTTCGGATTATTATAAATGTTGTGCTGGCTTCTGCATCGATCTGCTTCAGAAATTCGCAGATGACCTTAGTTTTACATACGATCTTTACGAAGTCGAAGATAAAAAATGGGGAGCGTTAAATGTAAGTATGGATTTTTATCAAATACAATTTTCCCATAATTATTCAACAATTCTCAAAATGACACACTAGTTTTCTCAAATTTCCTATGTAGCGCCATCTAATGTTTTAAAAATAAATTATTTTTTTATGATCTCTTTAACACTTGTGCCATTCTTATTTAATTTTTTAAAAAATAACAATATTATGCAACTAACTTTTACAGAACGGTACGTGGAATGGTCTGATAGCCGATCTTTTATCTCATAAATCTGACATCGTTGTTACTTCCTTCAAAATTAACTCAGAAAGACAAAGTGCCGTCGACTTTACCGTTCCTTTCTTAGAAACTGGAATTGCTATTGTTGTAGCTAAAAGAACTGGAATAATATCTCCCAAAGCATTCCTTGGTAAGCTTTTTTTTTCTCTCTTTTCCTTCATTCAGAATTAATTTGCATGAAAAAACAATTGAAAAATCCAGTGCCACGTTATCCTATGAACAAACAAGAGCAATTTCCTGGGTCTTCCACCAAGAGGGGACTTCAGGAATCTTTTATAAGAAATAGTCCCCCTCCCCGAAAATTTCCCAGAAGAAAAATGTCTGAATTCAACACTACGTGGGACCTCCTAATTTAAATATTTTTGGGTTTCCCAACGCTGGAAAAATCAAAAATTGAATTTATTTTTGTTTCAACGTAAAGGATCACAACAAGATTTTGAAATTTTTTACATAATTTTTACATAAATTTAATGTCAATAATAATATTAAAAGGGCATCGACTCTTGCAGAATAGCCTTTCGGAATGAATTTATCAAAATATTTTCTCTATTTATTCATAAAATATCCTTCAGATTAGCCAAGAAAAAATATATAAAAGAGGATTTAAGATTGGTAAATCTGGAAACAGAAAAATAAAAAGAAAAAAAAAACATTTTGATCCGATAAATGTTTGAATGGAATACTCTAAATATGGAAAGAAATATATAAATAAATAAAAAACACAAGTTGAGTGAGGATAGGAAAACAAAAACGGACTTATATATGAAGTACTTATACAACGAATAAATGTGATATCAAATAGATGTCAGTTATTGACAGCAAACACTACTCTTGGAGAGGTTGGTATATCCCGAGGCGAAGACAAGCCTTCACTGATATGTATTCTAACTGACATTTCGAGAACAAATAACTCGATATCAAAAAAAAAAAAAACTCTACAGCTATTCTGTAGATGTTGGGATAATTCTTTAATTATGTCACAGTTTTTGTGTCTCCGTAGGAAGTTGCGATAAATAATTTATAAAGTCAATTTGTCTGGTAGAATAAATTCAAAAATAATATTAATTAAATTGTAGAGAGGAGGAATGTGATATCCCAAAGAGAATTTGGGTAAAATTTGATACATAAAATGGACCTCCATTTATGAAATTAAAAAAACACGCGAAATTCTTTGGAACTTTCTGAAAAAAAAAATGCAATTTCCATCTGTAAAAAGTTTAATAAAATATGGATTTTGATTTGATAGATTTTTCCTTATTTTTTCTCTTATTTCTTTTTTTAGAACCATTCGATACGATTTCTTGGATAATGATTTTGCTCATAAGCATACAAGCTGCAGCCTTCTCCATTTTCTTTTTCGAGTGGTTAAGTCCCGCAGGATACGATAAGAAAATGTTGCCAGCTAGAGGTAAGTTTGAATATTGCATTAAATGGTAAATAAGTATAGATTTTAATAATGCTAATATCTAAAATATACCACAGAAATGCGCTAGATTATAATAATTGTTTTTTGAAAGACAAGAGATGTTTTTACAAATTAAATTGTGTAAATATTTATTTAAAAAATTATATATATATATATATGTATGTATATATGTATATATATGTATGTATTTATTCGTGTATATAAGACAGTGTAGCACTTTAAATTTGCATTACTTTTTGTGAAAAATTCCTACTTCTCTTCTCTATGCTTCATCTATCAGACGAGAATGATTCGAATCCCGGTAAGTAAATAGAGAATCCTTATGTATATTGTATAGTATATGTTGCATATTTGACATAGAATGATTTCTACAGTAATAAATTGTTTTTATATACATTTTTTATGTGTAAAATTCAAAGAGGTGCACGAATTGTCAATGGTTGTTTACATTTTATTTTTGTACTGTATTTTAATTAAAAATTCTAATTAATTAGCATGATTAGCTTTTTTTTATATTTTTTTTGTAGAAGAATAGTTTCAGTAGTATTTTTAAATGGAATTTTCCGTGGTTTAAGTGTTGATTAGTTGATAACTGAATATTTTATTCTCATAATTGGCATTTTTTTAATACGTAGCTTGATTAGTTTCGTGGCATTCAAAAATATTATTATGTTTTTTTTTGTCTTTAATAGATCACAAATTTTCGTTGTTCAGAACATATTGGTTGGTATGGGCTATTTTATTTGGTGCAGCCGTCAATGTAGATTGTCCTAGAGGTTATACAGCACGTTTCATGTCCAATGTGTGGGCCATGTTTGCTGTGGTTTTCCTCGCCATATATACAGCTAATTTAGCAGCTTTTATGATCACTCGTGAAGAGTATTATGACTTAAGTGGAATTGAAGATAAAAGAGTACGCATCATACACACATATATATAATGGTTTACGCGTCATTTATAATGTATGTACTATTTCTTTTGTGATTTCAGTTGCAGTACCCAACGATGGTTGATCCACCATTCCGCTATGGCACCATCCCCTCTGGCAATACAGAGACGGTACTTAAGAGAAATAAACCAGATTTATACATGTACATGAAGAAATATAACCAACCATCAGTACAGGATGGTATCAAAGCAGTGAAGATGGGGTAAATAATCATGCATTCATGAATTTTTAACTAATAATAACTCGATAAAAGACTCGATTCTAATGAAATTTCAGTTATAATTAATATCGATAAGGGTGTAAAATTGAAAATAATATTTCTTAAACAAATTTTACAGTGTAAAATTAAGTAATTTATGTATTTTTATTATATATACTGGTATATATTTTTTATTAAATTCAAATTGTTAAAAAATTTATGACTTTACACACCGAAAGATGCAGCATTTTTATGGCAACTCTCCAAATATACCTCAGTAAAAATTTGAAAAATTTACAAGAGATGGTGTATGTCATATTTGTTGAAGTACTCATGATGGGAACGTGATCAGAATATGTTTTCAATACATATATAAATGGATAGACAGTTAATATTCAAATATACAAAAAAGGATGCGTGCTCCATATACAAACAGAGCGTGAAATATCCAGAATAATAAGAGCATATATAACCTTTTTTTCCAGGGATCTAGATGCTTTTATATACGATTCAACAGTTTTAGAATNTTAGTGTGGCACCATCTGTTACGATATTTTATTTTAAAAATAACTTTTATACTTTTAGTTATTAATAAAATAGCAAAAAACTTCATTTTGAGAGTAGGAACAATTCATTTAAAAAATTATAAGTGTAATAACGAGTAAAATCGTCATTAAGTCCTACCCTACTCGAGATACGACGCATGACCTCCTCTATCTCCTCACCTCCTCGACCTTTAACCAGAAAATTTTAACAGCATCGATCCCCCTAACACACAAACCTCAATGCAAAATTTCAGAAAATTTCGACAAAAGGCACAGGAGTTATTAAGCTTCAAAGAGGTGAGCAATATCGCACCCTCCCACACACAAAACCCTCTATCTCCCCATCCCCTCGACCTTTATTCATCAAAATTTAACAGCATAAATTCCTCTAATACTCAAATCTCCATGCATAATTTCAGGTCCCCCGAGTCCAAAAATATAAAAATCTCGAGGGTAATTTTTTCACACATTGCCATACTTTCCCTCTGTTACATATAACAACCGGGAAAGTTTAAAAAAAAAATGAGTTAATCAACCCGGGAAAAAAAGAATCAGGAAACAACAATTCACTCATTAAATTATACAATTGATCTTACACAAAGATTACACATAAATCTACCATTTGCAAAGTATTGAGCGTAACGAATGTAATTAATTTGTTACGTGAACGAAGTTTACACATAAATTTGTATAGATAAAAACCTTCATAATTTAGTAATTTAATTTAATTAATGGAAGAAAAAAAAAACACGTAAAATGATTTTACACTAATGTTAATTAGTGTAAATTATATTAGTGTCGTTAATGAGATTTCGTGAAGAGAAAAGTAAAAGAGAGAATAAAAAATAATTTAAATTTTTTAAATAAAAATTTACAATTTATTATAATTGAATTTCAAATAAAACTGTTTTTAATGCGAATTTAGATGTATTTTTAAATTAATTTTATGCAGTTACAAAAAGTCACTTGATCCAAATTTAAACGTACGTTTTGTTTTATTTTGAAATTAAATAAAATGTATTTTATTCTTTATGTAATTTATATTATTATAATTAAAATGGCAAATGAGAAGACGTTTCGTGCCAATTTAGGCCACGATGTTTCGTGTAATTATTCTTATAAAAATAATTACTAAGCATCACCTGACCTAAATTCGTATCATAATCACGTAATCTAAATCTGTGTCCATTTAACTGTTTTATGTATTTGTTTTATAAAAGTATCTAGAAAAAAATCACGTGACCTAGAAGTGTAGTTTTAGATCACGTGTTCTAAGTTTCTAGACATTTGGATCACGTGATTTAAGGTTGTATATTTTTATGTCACGTGAACTTTAGACCACGTGATAGAAATTTAATTATAATTAATATATAATTATACATTAAATTTAACCAAGTTCTAAATGACATTTACGAGATTGATAAGTTTAAATATTTATTTTAAATGGATTTAAAACTATACAAATTAAATAGATTTATAATTATATTTACCTTTTCTATGATGAAATCTCATTTTTATTTCTTTCAATCGTCAATAGGAAATATTTTGTATATTATTTAAATAAAATAATATACCAATTAATTGTAAATAAGGGCCATTACATACAAAATAATTCAATTTATTTCGAATAGTTTTAAGTATTGAAAACTCATATCAAAGTTTATACAAGCAAAAGAATGATAAATTAAATATTTACCTTTTTCATCTCCGTCATCCTTCTCCCTTTAAATTTATAATTTATTTGTATTTCTANTCATCATCTATACAATAACTTGTCATAAACGATAACTTTTCCTTATTCTTGAATATCAGTTATGACGTGGGGAGAGTATCGGGAGTTTTTAGATGAAGTAAATATACATGAGAATTGATTTTGTTTTTGTAAAAAATTTAGAATTTTTAAAATATATTATCATGTATATTTATATATTAAATATGTAATTTAACAAGCAATTATTTACTGTGACATCGTCACAATGCTGGGATGTAATTTTTATTCATATTTTTAATTTATTTAATTTAAAATATATGCTCTCCACCTCAAATTAATAGTGTCTTGCTCCTGTACATCATACTTTTCCTGTTAGCAACAGAGTCGTAATGGTCATCTATCTAACTCTGTTCTCGAGATTAAGGAAAGACAGACGGACGGACGGACGATAATAGGAATTTATAGGTCCACAATTTTTTAAATAGCAGCCCGAAAATTAATTTAATTAATTGCTAGTTTTTATGAGGTATCAACAGTTTTTAGACAGAGAAAATACGAATTAAAATCTATTTTTTTCGTGAGAAATTGCGGCTTTTTTGGTAAATATTTTAATATATTATCCGGAAATATATAAAATATTTCCAGGATTAATTGTATTACTTGTAAATCAATTAAATTAATGATTTTCGTGTGTAGATTTACGATAAATACCGGATTATAAAATAGAATTTAGATCTTATTCGTTTTCTTAAATGAAAAATTTTAATAGATTCTTAAATGAATACTTTAGTTTATTGCCTGGAGTTGCATAATCATAAATTCTGAGTTTCTATTCCAAAGTATACGGTGATATCTTTATAATGATACATGGGAAATTATCAGAAAATGTATCTTAATATATATAAAGTAGGTTTTCTTGTAAAATTTCTATTTTTTAACGAAATATACTTTTTGTTATTATTTTTTTTAAAAAAACATTTAATAAAGTAAATTTCTCTTTAAAAATACTTTAAATTATTAAATGCGGGTATATATATTTATTTTTCACTGAAAGTTCATAAATTAAACTAAACGTACGAGGTGGCTCAAAAGTCTGTTAACCATCCTAAAGAGGAAATTACTGTATTATTCGAATATTTATATATTTTGTCATGTTTTCACGTTGTTTAAACTCAGTTTACCATTCACAAGTAGACATAAAATTACAAAAAAACGGTTAACTGATTTTTAGACCACCTTGTATATTCTCATTGTATAAACACGTATTCTTACTGTACGTGGCCCTAAATTCAGTTAACTATCACAATAATCTCATTCAAATATTTAAACATCTAATCACGTTATTATCGTTGTTCAAAAGTAAGTTTACGCTTCGTATTCACTTGGAAGATAAAAAACAAACTGACTTTTAGGCCACTTTGTATTTCAAAACAAATATTATTTATTAATCGTTTAAATATATAAAAATAATAAGTCGAAGAATTTTAAAAATGAATTCAAAGATTTTCTCTTGAAAGATGTTAGATAGATGGCCGGTAAGAGTTTATACAAGCAAAAGAATGATAAATTAAATATTTACCTTTTTCATCTCCGTCATCCTTCTCCCTTTAAATTTATAATTTATTTGTATTTCTAATAATATATTTTATATAATTTTTTTTACTATAGTTAGCTTTCTATTTTTACATTAGCATTCCCGATAATATAAAATATACAGTGAACTCGATATAGCGACACCCGACGTAACGAACTTTCGTTACAGCGAACAGTTTTCTTGTTCCTTTCCATTCTCGGGTTTCCGGTTTTCCGAGACTCTTCCGGATTTTTTCCCACTGACGCGTAGAATCGGAAGACTTTATTCTAGAAAATGTCGCTACAATGAAGTGTCTTTCTTTTTTTTACTACGTTTTAAACGTATTTCTTCCACTAGAAGAGTAAAAATACACGTGCCACCTTGTATCGTTCTGGAAGAATTCATTTTATTCCGGATTTTATCCCCAATTACCTGGTAATTCCTATTTGTGGATACTTTAGTTAAGGTGGAACAAGCATTAATTTGTCCAAAATTTTTCGCAAATAAAAAACACAATTACTAATTTTCAATTTTCCATCGTTGATTTCGTTAACTTTTCTGTTTCTCTGTCCGATTTTCTTTTTGTTTTTGCTTTGTCCGCATTCTCCTCACTGTTTTTATCGAATTTGGAGGGGGGCAGCTACACCCTGCTTTGTACGATCATGGTTATTCTTTACGTATATAGTGAGCTTTTGATATATTCAGTCTCTTAAGAGTTCATTACATCGAGGGTCTAATATATACATATAAGTCATGTAAATATATATATATGGAATTTCCTATCCTTAAATGAGCATTTCTAGCAATATATTATCGAGATTTTTATTCTCAAGTGAACATTTCTAGTAATATATTATAGCGATTTTTAAAGTAGTATTTTTGATAATACATATCGATATTTTTATTCTTAAACCAGCATTCTCAACAATATATATATACATATCAAACCATTAATTTTTAAACTAATATTTCTAGTGAACACTCTACTGTTAAGAGCCTCTCATCTTAATTCTTCAGCATCTTTCTGATCATTTTAAATAAGAAAGAAAATTAGTCCGGTTAACTGACTTTTGGACCCCCCTGTAAATTAAAAAAAAGTAAATAAATAAAATGCAATCATTCAAATTTTTAAAAGTGAATTATCGAGAACCTCTATGAATTTTATTATTTACATTAATGCTTTATTTCCTTTATATGCTGTTATTTATAATAATAATACAGTCAAAACCTCCGAATAGCGGCACCGATCAGAGCATAAAAACGTTCGTTGTTCAGAGGTGGCCATTATTGAAGGTTCGACTACATATTTTTAACATTAATATAAAAGCTAATTTAATCAATTTTACCTTTATTTTATGCTAAAATTTGAAAGAAATTAATTAAAATTTATTTATTTATAACTAGAAGAAATTATTGTAATTAATTTAATGAATATTGAATAATTATTGTTTATGTTATTTAACATTTTATTTGTTTATTGATAACACGCATCTGCATTATAATGAGTCAAAGATGTATGTTCGCTACATCTATACACATTTTATTTTTAGTTATTTCTATTATAATAGCTGTTTTCCCTTGGTTCCTTAATAGAAAAACTCTCCATTCTTTCAATAAAAATGATTCATTTTCCATTAAAAAAATTATACAAATTATTATTTAATTAATAAGTTTAATTAAAGGGTCTATATAATTTATATAACACTTCATATTAGGATTATATCATTTAACTAATTAGTATTAGAAATTATAATGAGGTGGGGTGATGGGATCCTCTTTAGAGACTCTAATGCACGTGATTGAAGGATTTACTCTTAGATTATGTAATTCCTTAATTATTATAAATTAGAGGATTACAGGAGCCTAATTAATCTCTAATTCTAATGCTTAATATTCTAATTAAGCATTTGTTTGTGCCCGTTTAATTAAGATCCGTTTGTTGCTTAATTCTCTGCGGAATTAACGTATTAAGATTAGTAAATTTATGAATTTTCTAATGTTTCGAAGATGTTAAATTAGAAAATTAATAGAAAATTTAAATACTTTTTAACTACTGAATATTTTGAAATTATTATTTTATTTTTTAAACGACATTTTTTAAAAAGATTATAACGATTTAATATTATTAATTAAAGACAGTCTGCCCAAAAGGGGGCCACCATTTATGAAGTCTGGAACACGAAAAATAAATGGTGGCCCCTTTTTGGGCAGACTGTCTTTAATTAATAATAATAATCTCCATTAGACGAAAATTTACAAAAAGAAAAAAATTTTAATGTATCGTCACCAGGGGGAAGTTTCCGAAATCTGCATTTTCCAGCGCTCATTCCAGTAGATAAAAGCAGAAACACCCCATAGGAAGAATGGAAAGCAAGACGTCTGTGTAACACCAGTTCCTTTTTTAAAAAGTTTTTTTTAATTGGATGTAATTGTGTTTTTTAAAGGACTGTTTTTAAATTCTGGCGGCATGTAGCCTATAAAGAAAGGTCTGTCNTACATAAAAGTTGTAATAAGTTCAAATTCAAACGAATTTCGAACGAATGATTCCATTACAACGAAAACTATTAAAACCTGAAGATGGCCTATACGAATTGGCCGAAAACGTTTGGAATAAACAAAAATAACTCGGCAAAAAAATTCAGGTGTGTGTGATTTATTATTATAAATAGATAACATTGCTGAGAAGGTAGATAGAATATATATATATATATATATATATGTAGACATGTTGTAACTAGACTTATTATAGTCCCAAGCTATAATACTTACGAGACTCTTCTCACTCCATCAAATAAGTTAAAAGCATGAGATTCTAAGCTACAGTCACGTGGCCCGAGTTTCTAAGCTTTAAATTATTTAATTTTTGTATATATAGGCCTTTTATATATGTATAACGACTGTAATTAATATGGGTACCTCCTCAGATACTTTATCAATAAAACTCCTCAAATAAGGAATTTATATGATTAATAAATTAAATTTTATAAAGTATTAAACGTAAATTAATTTAATAAAAATGAATTTATGATATACAATAAAGTTTTAGAGCATTGGTATATTATTGTCATCCTTCAATAACTGCAAATTTTTATTTATTTTTTTTAATAGAAAATTGAAATAAATTTTGTGGAAAATCGAATCACTTAGTTTCCATCTTTTATACTTGATTTAACTCGTTATGTTTTAAGTATTGTTTACATGCTCCAATTACCGATTTTTCGCTTGCATTTCCCGAAAATTACTCCTTTTATTTTCTTTTTTTTTTATTCAATTTTGGTCAAGTTTAGTGTATATTTTTTTCTTTTTTAATATATATATTAAAAAAACTAAGTGGAAATTTCTATAAGAATATATTTAAGAAGAATTGTATGATAATAAAATATAATTTTTCTTATCAGATTTAACGTTTCGGTAGCCACAAATGGTTCGGATTATTATAAATGTTGTGCTGGCTTCTGCATCGATCTGCTTCAGAAATTCGCAGATGACCTTAGTTTTACATACGATCTTTACGAAGTCGAAGATAAAAAATGGGGAGCGTTAAATGTAAGTATGGATTTTTATCAAATACAATTTTCCCATAATTATTCAACAATTCTCAAAATGACACACTAGTTTTCTCAAATTTCCTATGTAGCGCCATCTAATGTTTTAAAAATAAATTATTTTTTTATGATCTCTTTAACACTTGTGCCATTCTTATTTAATTTTTTAAAAAATAACAATATTATGCAACTAACTTTTACAGAACGGTACGTGGAATGGTCTGATAGCCGATCTTTTATCTCATAAATCTGACATCGTTGTTACTTCCTTCAAAATTAACTCAGAAAGACAAAGTGCCGTCGACTTTACCGTTCCTTTCTTAGAAACTGGAATTGCTATTGTTGTAGCTAAAAGAACTGGAATAATATCTCCCAAAGCATTCCTTGGTAAGCTTTTTTTTTCTCTCTTTTCCTTCATTCAGAATTAATTTGCATGAAAAAACAATTGAAAAATCCAGTGCCACGTTATCCTATGAACAAACAAGAGCAATTTCCTGGGTCTTCCACCAAGAGGGGACTTCAGGAATCTTTTATAAGAAATAGTCCCCCTCCCCGAAAATTTCCCAGAAGAAAAATGTCTGAATTCAACACTACGTGGGACCTCCTAATTTAAATATTTTTGGGTTTCCCAACGCTGGAAAAATCAAAAATTGAATTTATTTTTGTTTCAACGTAAAGGATCACAACAAGATTTTGAAATTTTTTACATAATTTTTACATAAATTTAATGTCAATAATAATATTAAAAGGGCATCGACTCTTGCAGAATAGCCTTTCGGAATGAATTTATCAAAATATTTTCTCTATTTATTCATAAAATATCCTTCAGATTAGCCAAGAAAAAATATATAAAAGAGGATTTAAGATTGGTAAATCTGGAAACAGAAAAATAAAAAGAAAAAAAAAACATTTTGATCCGATAAATGTTTGAATGGAATACTCTAAATATGGAAAGAAATATATAAATAAATAAAAAACACAAGTTGAGTGAGGATAGGAAAACAAAAACGGACTTATATATGAAGTACTTATACAACGAATAAATGTGATATCAAATAGATGTCAGTTATTGACAGCAAACACTACTCTTGGAGAGGTTGGTATATCCCGAGGCGAAGACAAGCCTTCACTGATATGTATTCTAACTGACATTTCGAGAACAAATAACTCGATATCAAAAAAAAAAAAAACTCTACAGCTATTCTGTAGATGTTGGGATAATTCTTTAATTATGTCACAGTTTTTGTGTCTCCGTAGGAAGTTGCGATAAATAATTTATAAAGTCAATTTGTCTGGTAGAATAAATTCAAAAATAATATTAATTAAATTGTAGAGAGGAGGAATGTGATATCCCAAAGAGAATTTGGGTAAAATTTGATACATAAAATGGACCTCCATTTATGAAATTAAAAAAACACGCGAAATTCTTTGGAACTTTCTGAAAAAAAAAATGCAATTTCCATCTGTAAAAAGTTTAATAAAATATGGATTTTGATTTGATAGATTTTTCCTTATTTTTTCTCTTATTTCTTTTTTTAGAACCATTCGATACGATTTCTTGGATAATGATTTTGCTCATAAGCATACAAGCTGCAGCCTTCTCCATTTTCTTTTTCGAGTGGTTAAGTCCCGCAGGATACGATAAGAAAATGTTGCCAGCTAGAGGTAAGTTTGAATATTGCATTAAATGGTAAATAAGTATAGATTTTAATAATGCTAATATCTAAAATATACCACAGAAATGCGCTAGATTATAATAATTGTTTTTTGAAAGACAAGAGATGTTTTTACAAATTAAATTGTGTAAATATTTATTTAAAAAATTATATATATATATATATGTATGTATATATGTATATATATGTATGTATTTATTCGTGTATATAAGACAGTGTAGCACTTTAAATTTGCATTACTTTTTGTGAAAAATTCCTACTTCTCTTCTCTATGCTTCATCTATCAGACGAGAATGATTCGAATCCCGGTAAGTAAATAGAGAATCCTTATGTATATTGTATAGTATATGTTGCATATTTGACATAGAATGATTTCTACAGTAATAAATTGTTTTTATATACATTTTTTATGTGTAAAATTCAAAGAGGTGCACGAATTGTCAATGGTTGTTTACATTTTATTTTTGTACTGTATTTTAATTAAAAATTCTAATTAATTAGCATGATTAGCTTTTTTTTATATTTTTTTTGTAGAAGAATAGTTTCAGTAGTATTTTTAAATGGAATTTTCCGTGGTTTAAGTGTTGATTAGTTGATAACTGAATATTTTATTCTCATAATTGGCATTTTTTTAATACGTAGCTTGATTAGTTTCGTGGCATTCAAAAATATTATTATGTTTTTTTTTGTCTTTAATAGATCACAAATTTTCGTTGTTCAGAACATATTGGTTGGTATGGGCTATTTTATTTGGTGCAGCCGTCAATGTAGATTGTCCTAGAGGTTATACAGCACGTTTCATGTCCAATGTGTGGGCCATGTTTGCTGTGGTTTTCCTCGCCATATATACAGCTAATTTAGCAGCTTTTATGATCACTCGTGAAGAGTATTATGACTTAAGTGGAATTGAAGATAAAAGAGTACGCATCATACACACATATATATAATGGTTTACGCGTCATTTATAATGTATGTACTATTTCTTTTGTGATTTCAGTTGCAGTACCCAACGATGGTTGATCCACCATTCCGCTATGGCACCATCCCCTCTGGCAATACAGAGACGGTACTTAAGAGAAATAAACCAGATTTATACATGTACATGAAGAAATATAACCAACCATCAGTACAGGATGGTATCAAAGCAGTGAAGATGGGGTAAATAATCATGCATTCATGAATTTTTAACTAATAATAACTCGATAAAAGACTCGATTCTAATGAAATTTCAGTTATAATTAATATCGATAAGGGTGTAAAATTGAAAATAATATTTCTTAAACAAATTTTACAGTGTAAAATTAAGTAATTTATGTATTTTTATTATATATACTGGTATATATTTTTTATTAAATTCAAATTGTTAAAAAATTTATGACTTTACACACCGAAAGATGCAGCATTTTTATGGCAACTCTCCAAATATACCTCAGTAAAAATTTGAAAAATTTACAAGAGATGGTGTATGTCATATTTGTTGAAGTACTCATGATGGGAACGTGATCAGAATATGTTTTCAATACATATATAAATGGATAGACAGTTAATATTCAAATATACAAAAAAGGATGCGTGCTCCATATACAAACAGAGCGTGAAATATCCAGAATAATAAGAGCATATATAACCTTTTTTTCCAGGGATCTAGATGCTTTTATATACGATTCAACAGTTTTAGAATATTTAGTTGGACAGGACAACGAATGTCGTCTTCTAACAGTAGGATCATGGTATGCAATGACCGGTTACGGTTTCGCTTTACCAAAAAACTCTAATTATTTAAATATGTTCAACAGAGAGATGATTAAGTATAGAGAAAATGGTAAATAATTTCTTAAAAATTAAATTTCTTTTTAACATTTCGTAATAATTTCAATATACACTTTAATTCTTTTAAGGTGATTTAGAAAGATTACAAAGATTTTGGTTCCAAGGGGCTTGCAAGCCTACAAAGAATAAGCGTAATGTGAGCAAGCCTTTGGATATCAATCAATTTATGAGCGCCTTTTTATTGCTAGGATGTGGTGTTTTTTTAACCATTTGCCTCTTGGGTCTAGAACACGTGTACTTCCGTTACATCAGGAAGCACTTAGCAAAGAAAGATGCTGGTGGCTGCTTCACCCTTATCAGTCTGGTGCGTATACATTTACCTACATAATCCGTAATTTCCAAGTTTAAATATCATATTTGGAAATATTAATTCTAATTATAATTAATAGTAATGTTTTAATTCAATATTTAAATTTTTAATAACAGTGGCCATCAGTCAGAAATTAAATTAATGGTCTTAATTTGAATGCAATTTTAAAAATTAAAAAAAAATATTACAATAGTTGTAATGTTTTGAATTAAAATATTTTTATAAAAGAAAATTTGTAGCGTGTGCCAAAAATGCAACAGAGATTTAATTTAGAAATTAATTAAACTTCATTAATTATCGCCATTTCTTTAGAAAATGATAAAAATATCTCTTTTGAAATATATGGAAAATAATCAAATCTATTCAAGTTTGTTTAATTCCGAACGAATTAAAAGTAGAAAAGAATCTAATCTCGATAAAGGTCAAAGTAGATTTATTCAATCGTTAAGACGTAACAAGTCAAAGATTCTTCCTTCTTACGATTAGACTTTAATTGCTCCCATTGGTAAGTCGAAAATACCAGTTTTTTTCCCCAAAGGAAAAGAATCTTAGTGCTGCAAACCAATCACGTTTCCAAAGTCTTGACACAAATCTACTCTATACGCCATTTATAATCCCCAAACTTTCTACTACCGAAAGTTGCTTTTGGTAAAGACTTTCTATCCAGAATCTTAAATAATTCAATTTACAAAAGCAAATTAATACATTTTTTTTTTCTTTTTTAATGCATTTCTACAGTATTATTTATTTTAAAATAGAGTATGGGAAAATCCCTGAGTTTCAGGGGTGCTGTGTTTGAGGCCCAGGACATGATAAAACATCACAGATGCAAGGATCCCATTTGTGATACTCAACTATGGAAAGCTAAGCACGAATTGGATATGGCGAATTTGAAAATACGTCAACTTGAAGCACAAATTGAAGGAAGGTAAAGAAATTTTACAATATTTTAAGAAATATTGACTTANAATTGTGTAAATATTTATTTAAAAAATTATATATATATATATATGTATGTATATATGTATATATATGTATGTATTTATTCGTGTATATAAGACAGTGTAGCACTTTAAATTTGCATTACTTTTTGTGAAAAATTCCTACTTCTCTTCTCTATGCTTCATCTATCAGACGAGAATGATTCGAATCCCGGTAAGTAAATAGAGAATCCTTATGTATATTGTATAGTATATGTTGCATATTTGACATAGAATGATTTCTACAGTAATAAATTGTTTTTATATACATTTTTTATGTGTAAAATTCAAAGAGGTGCACGAATTGTCAATGGTTGTTTACATTTTATTTTTGTACTGTATTTTAATTAAAAATTCTAATTAATTAGCATGATTAGCTTTTTTTTATATTTTTTTTGTAGAAGAATAGTTTCAGTAGTATTTTTAAATGGAATTTTCCGTGGTTTAAGTGTTGATTAGTTGATAACTGAATATTTTATTCTCATAATTGGCATTTTTTTAATACGTAGCTTGATTAGTTTCGTGGCATTCAAAAATATTATTATGTTTTTTTTTGTCTTTAATAGATCACAAATTTTCGTTGTTCAGAACATATTGGTTGGTATGGGCTATTTTATTTGGTGCAGCCGTCAATGTAGATTGTCCTAGAGGTTATACAGCACGTTTCATGTCCAATGTGTGGGCCATGTTTGCTGTGGTTTTCCTCGCCATATATACAGCTAATTTAGCAGCTTTTATGATCACTCGTGAAGAGTATTATGACTTAAGTGGAATTGAAGATAAAAGAGTACGCATCATACACACATATATATAATGGTTTACGCGTCATTTATAATGTATGTACTATTTCTTTTGTGATTTCAGTTGCAGTACCCAACGATGGTTGATCCACCATTCCGCTATGGCACCATCCCCTCTGGCAATACAGAGACGGTACTTAAGAGAAATAAACCAGATTTATACATGTACATGAAGAAATATAACCAACCATCAGTACAGGATGGTATCAAAGCAGTGAAGATGGGGTAAATAATCATGCATTCATGAATTTTTAACTAATAATAACTCGATAAAAGACTCGATTCTAATGAAATTTCAGTTATAATTAATATCGATAAGGGTGTAAAATTGAAAATAATATTTCTTAAACAAATTTTACAGTGTAAAATTAAGTAATTTATGTATTTTTATTATATATACTGGTATATATTTTTTATTAAATTCAAATTGTTAAAAAATTTATGACTTTACACACCGAAAGATGCAGCATTTTTATGGCAACTCTCCAAATATACCTCAGTAAAAATTTGAAAAATTTACAAGAGATGGTGTATGTCATATTTGTTGAAGTACTCATGATGGGAACGTGATCAGAATATGTTTTCAATACATATATAAATGGATAGACAGTTAATATTCAAATATACAAAAAAGGATGCGTGCTCCATATACAAACAGAGCGTGAAATATCCAGAATAATAAGAGCATATATAACCTTTTTTTCCAGGGATCTAGATGCTTTTATATACGATTCAACAGTTTTAGAATATTTAGTTGGACAGGACAACGAATGTCGTCTTCTAACAGTAGGATCATGGTATGCAATGACCGGTTACGGTTTCGCTTTACCAAAAAACTCTAATTATTTAAATATGTTCAACAGAGAGATGATTAAGTATAGAGAAAATGGTAAATAATTTCTTAAAAATTAAATTTCTTTTTAACATTTCGTAATAATTTCAATATACACTTTAATTCTTTTAAGGTGATTTAGAAAGATTACAAAGATTTTGGTTCCAAGGGGCTTGCAAGCCTACAAAGAATAAGCGTAATGTGAGCAAGCCTTTGGATATCAATCAATTTATGAGCGCCTTTTTATTGCTAGGATGTGGTGTTTTTTTAACCATTTGCCTCTTGGGTCTAGAACACGTGTACTTCCGTTACATCAGGAAGCACTTAGCAAAGAAAGATGCTGGTGGCTGCTTCACCCTTATCAGTCTGGTGCGTATACATTTACCTACATAATCCGTAATTTCCAAGTTTAAATATCATATTTGGAAATATTAATTCTAATTATAATTAATAGTAATGTTTTAATTCAATATTTAAATTTTTAATAACAGTGGCCATCAGTCAGAAATTAAATTAATGGTCTTAATTTGAATGCAATTTTAAAAATTAAAAAAAAATATTACAATAGTTGTAATGTTTTGAATTAAAATATTTTTATAAAAGAAAATTTGTAGCGTGTGCCAAAAATGCAACAGAGATTTAATTTAGAAATTAATTAAACTTCATTAATTATCGCCATTTCTTTAGAAAATGATAAAAATATCTCTTTTGAAATATATGGAAAATAATCAAATCTATTCAAGTTTGTTTAATTCCGAACGAATTAAAAGTAGAAAAGAATCTAATCTCGATAAAGGTCAAAGTAGATTTATTCAATCGTTAAGACGTAACAAGTCAAAGATTCTTCCTTCTTACGATTAGACTTTAATTGCTCCCATTGGTAAGTCGAAAATACCAGTTTTTTTCCCCAAAGGAAAAGAATCTTAGTGCTGCAAACCAATCACGTTTCCAAAGTCTTGACACAAATCTACTCTATGCGCCATTTATAATCCCCAAACTTTCTACTACCGAAAGTTGCTTTTGGTAAAGACTTTCTATCCAGAATCTTAAATAATTCAATTTACAAAAGCAAATTAATACATTTTTTTTCTTTTTTAATGCATTTCTACAGTATTATTTATTTTAAAATAGAGTATGGGAAAATCCCTGAGTTTCAGGGGTGCTGTGTTTGAGGCCCAGGACATGATAAAACATCACAGATGCAAGGATCCCATTTGTGATACTCAACTATGGAAAGCTAAGCACGAATTGGATATGGCGAATTTGAAAATACGTCAACTTGAAGCACAAATTGAAGGAAGGTAAAGAAATTTTACAATATTTTAAGAAATATTGACTTAAATTATATATATATATATATAATTCAATATTACGTATTGAATATCATTTTCTAAAAGGAAAAATCAATGTGTAATTATCATATTAATTTTTTTTCAACTCTTTTACGTTGTGGTTTTTTTAAAAATTTAAGCTATATTATATCGAATTTTATTCTAAAAAACAAAAAAAGAAACCAGTCGGAAAGAACAAAAGTTAATTATTTTATTTTATTTTTATTCTTTCTTATCAGTGATGCGGAAAAACAAACCATGTTATTACATGTCAATACAACTTGCTCTACATTATTTTTATATCGGGAAACGTGATAAGTCGAGTTGTTCTTTCGAAATCAAATTTAGTGTGAAGATAAATTTCGATATTGAACCAAAAAATTCTGTATATAAATTGCATTGGTTTAAGTCTAGAATAAAAGGAATCACTGTTAAAAAAGAAGAGTTCTGATCATTCTGTTTACTTATCAAATTACTACCGCTACTACTAACGTTGTTAAATTTCCTTTTCAAAATTAAAAATTACTTCCTCAAATATTATATTTATATTCTCAGAATATTTATTTGATAAAAATAAATAAATAAACCTAAACTACTGATGCTACACATTTTTATAAATTAGTATAGGATATTCAGGGATGATGAGTGACGGTGTTTCATTCCCTATTTTTTGGATTTAATGTTTAAAAACAATATTATTGAATTATTAGTTAATTAATATTAAAAGATCGATGATTATTTAGTTTAATCTACTTATTTCTCACAATTCCTTAATTTTNATAAGTTAAAGATTTAAAAAGAAAATTATGTAGTTTATGGAAAATTGAAAGTTAAAGTAATAATTAATTGAATTTAGTAGTTTTTTTATGTTTAGAATTCTAAAAGAATTAAAATACCTTGCTGCTAATAAATATCATTTTATAAATATTTAATAATTTTTACTTTACAAGTTGTAAAAGAATTTTTTTTTAATGATGAAACATCCTCATCTCATGAGTATCCTCTCGAGATAAAGATGCATCACTTAGAAAAAATGAACAATTACTTGATAAAATCTCATCAAATATTCTAAATTAAAATAAAAATACAAGTTTAAATTCTTTAGTGAATAAATATAAATGTAAGTTAAACATTGATTTAATGCTATTATATTGTTTACAATTTGTAATTAAATTGCAGTTTCTCTGCCTTTATTATTACTATGCAGAGAAGCTACCTTCGCAGGATAAAGTTTCATACGAAGTCTATGGAAATGACAGCGTACTTACACGTATTTCTTAAGTTCAGTATATTAAAGTTCGCACTTTTAATAGATTCAAACTGGCTTAAGATTTTTATTTTTAAATGATTTTATAAAGTTAATTATTAACTAAAATTACGTGTTTTTTTAAATATTTAATTTAATAATTAGTATTTGCTCATTTATACCTGATTTTTCAACAAAGGTAAACAAAATAAAAGATTTATTCCTCTGTTAACATGTGTTTATAAAAAGGGAGGAAAATTAAATAAATGTGGAAAAATCTTAATTTGATAAACAGGTAAAAGTGTAATTTTTATGAATATTTATACTGTTTTCTTAGTGTTTTTAAAACAAATGATCCGTAGTTTGTTGCGGTTAATTTTAAATTTGATTAAGTACACGTTAATGTATGGCTAATGTGGATGTTGCAACATCTGCCAGGATAAAAGAGGAAAAAATTTCCCCTAAAAGAAGTTAGATAGATGACCAGCATGACTTTATTGCTAACAGGAAAAGTGTGTATAGGGGTAAGCCACTACTAATTTGAGGTGGAGAGCATATATTATAAATTAAATAAATTAAAAATATATATATTTACTGTATATATTTGTAAAAAGTCCAATATTCGATCTAGGAAAAGCAAGTGATATATTTTGTGAGGTAAATTGGCTTCATATTAGAAAGCCAAAGTAATTTCTCGATAGACACGAGTCATTTATCTTGAAAACAAATAAAATATCACGTGGTTTAAATGAATATAGTTTGTTAATCGCGTAATATTTTTCGCAATTTATAAATTTTCCAATAAATCTATTAACCAATTTAACCTTGAAAGCGTACAAACTGCTCTTTTGGTTAGCGCTCGTCGATTGATTTATCGATCATGTTATTGGCGATCGTGTTATTTACTAGCTAATTACATGAAATATAATTATCTTGAGGAATTACAACATAAAACTTTATAGATAAAATTAATTATCATTAAGAATAATCGCGAAAATAAAGATTATATCAATGGCATCATCATCATCCTCATCGTATCAGTCGTCAACTGCCAG